ATCCTTTTGACTCCCAACGAAATCATGTGATTGTCTTAAATAGGCAGCATCTCATCTTGGCAATGGCAGACTCCTGTAAAAATCGCACAGAGTCCGAATATGTTTCTCTTGGGAGCCCGACGAGGGAGCTCTGCGCACAATACTCTGTGTGAGTGTTTTCTGGTGTAGGGGGGCTTACCCTAAGCAGGCTACAGCCTGTAGCCAATCACATTTGGCACCTGCTTTGAGAGATGTTCTACTTCTCAGCTTACATGGTCGCTATGATATTTAACAAACACACAAAAAATGGTTTTTCTTTACGTCCCCCATCAGGTCATGTTCGAATATATGAATCCAGTCATGTGGAGCTAGTGGTCCAAACGCGATTCAGAGATTACACCCCGGAGCAGGTAATCAGTAATTTGTGATGGTTTACAGTCTGAAATTTAACCACTGACCCCGTTTAATCCGCTTGCCATTCTCCCATCTCTCCAATATTCCACAGCTGCACTGATAGGCAGCGTGCCAACATTTCTGAACTCCCTGCAGTCATTCATAGAAGTGCTCAGGAGTGTGGGAGCCAAAGCATCGGGAGCACTTGTTTCATATTCCGAACGTATTTTATCATCCTAAAAGAAAAACCAGATGAGATCTCTGCTGTACGGCAGGGGAAATAAATGTGTGGTGTTTACAGAGTGATCTTTTTGGCACCGAGTCAAAAAACATCTGAATCAGAAAGTCATTAAAGGTGATCTTCAAGCCAGAGGGTTTATAGAGTCCACAGAGGATGAAATGTGTTTTTGCATATGGTTTCTAATTTCTACAAAGCAGAAAGATGGTGGTATATTTTGATGACTTTATATTTAGAAGCATTTAACTACATATAGCATGGGTCTTTGTAACAGAAACACTGGCATCTAAAAGCTCATATAGATTTGATGTTCAGGTGCAGAGCACAGTAGATAGAAAGTTTACTTTGGTAAATTGGTAGGAAGAGAAGAACAGAAGCTAACCCAATAGTGAACTCAGCTCTCTGTGACACCAGGTCTTGTGGATTTGTTTCCCTCTGGAATGCAAAGTGTTTGATGAATCTTCCAGATGGCCTGTGTCATGTTGCATTAGTGATAGCTGTCATGTGTGACAGATTAATTTGTTCTGAACGTCAGAACGTTAATCAGTGAGTTAGAAATCAGTGACCAACAACTAACTTTCTCCTGAACCATAGTCCCCTACAGATAGGAAGCAGGATAAGCAAATGCAAGAACATTTTCATTCTGAGAGTAATATGTTCTAAGCCTATAAAACCGATACATATACAGTACCCACTTCCAGATTTCTGCCTCTGTTTGCCAATCCTGGGTTTAATCAGTGATAAAATGCCGTCATGAATACAATTCTTACCATATGTTTGGAGGTTCAGGAAATCTGTGCTTTACAACAGCAGCTGACACTGCAAGCACCCCTCCTCGTCCTCCTCCTCCCCGTTCTACATTATTACACAGACCCCTTGCTCAGACACATGTGTGCACTCGCAGCAATCCAATACTCACTCTGCATCTGTGTGTCTGGCATCACGTGAATGTATGGAAAATGTGCTGCTCTTATACATCTGTGTGAGCAAATGATTCATATTTGTTCAGCAAGTGCAGAGCTTCACAGCTGACTGGAAAGTTGCCACACCTTTGGCCCCCGAAGGCGTCTGACAGCCTTTTGTTGGGATGTACGGCAGGATGCTTCACTGTGGGATGCGCGGGTGGGCAGATCAAACTGGCAGACTGAGAAATAATTGTTTGTTGTCTGTATTGTTTGAAGGAGCTGAAAAAAAGAAAGCTCCTGTACATACACCAAGTGCTGTGAGTGTTTTGACCCCCGAACCTGTGAGCTCCTGTAGGCCTCTCAGTCTGCCTGCACGTCTGAGTGCTTGTTCTTCTGTCTTCCTGTCTCAATCAGCTTGGCTTAAAGCCCTACTGTCTGTCTTCAATAACATCTGTGGATGTACAAAGGCAGAGAACTGACACATAAAGGGAACTCACTCCAGCACATTGTCTAAAATATACAGTGCAGTGAAAAATAAGAACATCAATCATGGTTATTGTTGGAAATTAACATTTTGCACATTATTGAAGTAAATAAAAACAGGTTAATCACAGGTTAAATGTAAGAATACTTTCACATATATACAATGCCTTCAAATCCACGATTTAATCCAGATTAAATGCCATGATTAAAGCTTCAGTCTAGCAGTAGGTGGCTTAGAACCCACAAGAAGTCTCCACACTCCCCCACCCCAAATTTCATTACAGGATTTTTAAGAATCTTACAAGTGTTAGCATCAAAGTGCATGCATGTACAGTTAGAAAAAGATTTTAAAAATTTGACCCGTGTGGGAAGTTTGCCAGGAAAAAGTCTTTGCTGTCCAAAAGAGAAAATTAGAGGAAATCTAAAGTTTGCCTGTAGCAAAAACCCGGCCACTTGGAATACCTTGGCCTTCGACAGATGATCTAAATTGTGATCAAAGTTGTTCAGTGAGACCAAAGGCAACCTTTTTTTATGTCGTGCTTACGTCGTGACACGTAATTTTAGTATCTGAGGTCTAGTCACACTTGTTTACCTGTGTAAGTGCATCTAGATACAAAGAGGAAAAATATTTGAATTGCAAGATGGACAAACTTTCTCCAAAGTTTTCTGAACTTGGTGAGGCTGAATACAGAAGAAAGTCAAATTGCAGAAAGATGCTGATTAAACAACAGCCGCATTCCAGATGCACAGCTTGTTTTTGACTTCTTTGAAGGTTATATGTGAACAAGGGACACTGAAAGAGCCCCAAAAAAAGACATTAACTGCTTAAAATATGTATGAAAATTAATTTTTAACAATCCCAAAGAGCATCTTTACTGCTTCAGCAACACAGAATGAGTAGAATTTCCAGAAGATGTCTGATACCACTGAGCATCAGCCGTCAGTTCCTCTCATTTGTTTGTCTACTTACTACTTGGAAAAATTATCACTGGCAGACAATCATGCCAGGTAGGATTAGCACATCATCACGAGTAAACCAGAAACACCCCAAAATAACTAAACACCTACTCTTCTCCTGAGGATCGATCATTTCAACAGCTAAAGCAGATAGCAGCTGCCTATAATTAGCTGTCATCAAGGTCTGCGTGCGTGTCTGGTGAGAGCAGACTACGCTTGTGGTAAGCATATGTGATTTCGTGTGCATGCTCTCGTGTGATTTATGTGCATATGTGTCTTTGTACGTTAGTGTGAGTCTGTTCACGCATGTATGGATGTACTTATGTGTTTGGGTCTTTGTGTGTTTGCGTGCACAATACGCTGACAGCAGCTGTAGAATTCCTCTCAGCGCATCACAGAGGGGTAGGTTGATGGGAACTGACACGGAGCAAGAGTAAAGGGAGGTGGGAAACGGAGATGAAGGTGGAGCGGAGCAATGGGAGACGGTGGTTGCCAGGCAGTGTAGATGATTGAAGGGTTAGTCAGAATTTGCAAAAACTCTGCACCGCTGTCGAAGAATACATATGTCTTTACTGCTATTGTCCTGACCTTGTCTAGTACAATCCAAACACCTTGGATGCATCACTGTTTTTGGCTTTGGATTCACTGCTGAACCTCACTGATCTTCTTTTTGTATATTTTAAAAGTAAAAATAGTTCTTTTTTTTTAAACTACACCTTTTGTAAGAAGTGAGAATAATATACACTGCTTAAAATCATAAAGCAACACTACAAAAGACATCAGATTTCACCTAGAAAAACAGTCATTCTGAATATCAATGCATGAAATTCAACAACTTAATTTATTGTTGTTGAGATGACGTGAATGACGTGATACAATCTAGTATGAGTGGTTAGTTGCCTCGACTCACAAAACAAGATCACACAAGACTTCAAATGACAGGAAAATCACTGGGGTCATAAAAGCATACACACACACCACATGTATGCTATTGCTATTTGTTGTGGTTTAACCCGTCAAGGGCAAAAATACAAAGA